TCGAGACCACTCGGGTGAAGAATCAAAAACATTCAGAAGCTGTCCGCATGAACCACTGCCAACCATAGCAATGGTTTACTCAAAGTAGAACGCATCATTTTATCGTAGTATTACAGAAGGTAAATCCTTTCAGAAATATATACGTATACACAGTATATTTTTGCTGTATGATGTCAAATTCAAAGCGTATATGATCACATACATATATTTGTTTGTCTATTTCGAACATTTTCCAGGACCACAATCCTACACTCTCAAAATGTATTGTTGGGACGGCTTCCGAGAACTACGACGGAACCTTCAGAGGCCCTAGAGGGGTCGAATCCATTCAAACCGTAACGGAGCTTTATAGAATATCAACGTGGCATACTACTATTGGCCAGTAGCGTAACATACCTCATTGCGGTTTAGTTGAATTATAACGTCGATTTAACAGACGGTAATATCTATAGATTTCCATAATTTTCTGTAAATTTTGATACTTGCCCAACAAGCACTTTCTCCAGTTTTATTCTGACTTCTTATTTACGACTTGGAGAGTTCTAACGTTCGAGTGCTGAAGTTATACACGTTGTATCAAGAATCTAAGCTCTAAATTTAATACATATGTAGTCATGTATTATGAATAATTATGCTTCATATTTTACATGCATTTTCTTAAATTGCATTGGGATGCTATAACCAACGTATTTTATGGACTTACTTGTTCAGTTCGTAGACAGACAACTCACTAACTTTATGAGTGCTGTTGAACTATGATCGATCATAAGAAGTACATAATATTTAAAATTATTTAGATAGATAACTTACTGGACTTACCGATCCGCCCAACTATAGTCGGTCACCAAGGGACTCCCACTTCTATTCTAAAGAGTTGTCAAGATAACCTTGTAATCCCCAGTCAACTACCAGTGGTCTTTGGTGGATGGCACAAACTAACATCAGAGTCAAGTAAATATAAGTTACCTCTTGTCTATTTTTCATCAGCTGTCTACATTCACGTACACTGCGTTGACTCACCACTAACTTTATTTCATCACCAATTGCCGTATTTATAACTACTACATTCCTACACTTTTCCACCCACTTCGTTAAACACTTGTCTTGCACGATAGCCTTCTTAATGCTTGTATTTGGTTGGCAACCCATATTTCGTACTATTGTAATTTAAAGTATCGCATCAATGCATTACCACCAGTCAGTAGTTTGCAACCGCCTGATAGTCTTATAAAGTAGTACTTATAGAAATAGTGTTATCCAGCAGGATGTAAAACATAGAGAATCGTGTGAAATATTATATTTGATCTAAAATTAAACTTTAATGAGCCTAAAATCTCTGAAGGAGAGAGGGTGGAGCTACTGGCATTTCTGGTGAGAACGATGACCCCAACCCACCATATTTGTGGTACAGAACATCTTGTTCGCTTCGGGCTTCTGTAATTAAGCACGATACAATCAATGAATGACACTTAGGTTGTCCTCCTGCTCTCTCCAATCTGAGTCGTGTTCCGAACTTTATTTTGAATTTTCTTTTTCGCTAAGGTAACCTATAACATAATAATAATAATAATTTATTCTCAAATAACGGTTTTTTACATGAGGCACGCCAGTTTACAGGCAAGATCAAATTGATACCAATAATACAATATCCACTGTAGTAAATTACATAGCTGGGTTGATAATTTATAAGATATGAATGTAGATGGTTTTAATCAGTACCACAGTTGGCGCGCTTCATGGAAGTTGCTCTGCAAATGTGCAACTGATGGTCAAGGATAGGTCCATTGAAGGTGGGAGCTTCTAAATGTGGCAACCTTATGTCCCTTTGGAATGTCTAAGGCTTTGAGGATGGTGCAGGATGAAATCTTTCGTTCCATATCACAAGGGGGGTTAAAGAGGGAACAAGTAAAAGAAAGGACGAGAGGCAGAGTAGCCAATATTCATGAAGGAATGTTTAAGGTATGATTAATCAGTCTAATTTTCTTTTATTAAGGTATTTGTTAAGAAAGAGCATTTTAATAGGCTAAAGATAATAAGTGTTAACGAGGTGTGAGTGGACATACAACTGAAAAATGGAAGCGATTCGGAAAGGAGCTGAGAGTATGGGATTATGTGTGGTTATAAAATGAAATATAGTGCTAGAAACAGTATTGTGACATACAATTTGTTATCTTCCTTTTTTTATCGAAGCTACCAGAGCCCCTTTCGTTTTTTTGTATTATTATTTTTTTTCAGGTATCATAGGGTCTTGAGTAGGCTTCGTATACTAGCGACTTGTCTATTTTTCTTGCAATAGGATTTCTGGGTAGGAAGTCAAACCAATTCAACGTTCGTAACACGATTTAAAGAGGTATTTTGGTATGCAACATACTAGCAGACGTTAACAATATGATCTAGTGGCTGACACCAGATGAAGAAAAGAAATGAAAAACATTGAAAGTTGTAGTCATTAGCATTTTCTAACACTTTACTCAGTTTGGTGCAATTTGTACTCTGATAAACTGCCCTCGTTGTTCCAACTTCAACTTCCGCTACATCAGTCGAGCCCATCTCACCTTGTTATAAATCACAAATCATCGTTCTTTGTTACTGTATTCTCTTATCTGAAGGCTCTAACCACACTTCATTCTAGCAACAGGAGATAATATGAGTTCTATCTAATAAGTTATCATACCTTCGTCTGTTCCACTACAAATTGTTAAGCATTGTTTAGGGTTTATATTAAAATGCCTTGCTGCTCCATTGTTCCTCTTTTTCAGAATCACGCCCTCAGTGCTCAGGTATGGAGCTTCCCACTCCTGAAGCAAGCTTGACATGCGCGTCTATCACGGTCACAGCTCATACCTAGTTCCATTCATACCTACTTTTAACGATTATAAACTTCCTAAAAAGTTGTGTTACATAAATACTCAGTAGGGTCAGACTTCTAGTACAATAAATTTCGGTTTGGACATGGTTTGGGTTTCTCATAATCACAACGTGGACGCGATATCATTTTTGAAAGAGATAATAAAAGCTGCACCCACAATGTATTACTAAAACATAATACACAAAACACAAACTCTCTGACACAACTGTACGATAAAATGTCTTTTATTTTTATTGATCTCATCTATTTCATAACCCTTACTGGGAAGCATCCTCTATGGCAACGAATAAACACGCCTTTTAAATTATTTACGTATTTCACGTCTCCTTTATTTCTATTTCTTTATTTTCTTCCTTTCATTCTTTAAACTCAATTCAATATTCTTCTCAATTACACGGAACCTGATTTGTTATTATTATTCTATTATTATTCTCTTTTTCAAGTATGGCAAACGTAATGCAAACATTATTGAAACTTGTGTATTATCGCATTTTTGAAGAAACCCTAAATGGTTTCTTCACAACACTTATGTACCCATAAGATGTTCGTGAATAGTAATAATCATAATACTATAAATTATAGACCATGAGTGTAAAAACGGTGTGTACCTCGTCTAGCAGAAATATATTATCATCAATCATAACTTTTAAGTGCCTAAGACTCAACAAAAATATTCCTTACAGAATGGGATCAATATTCTTGTCCTTAGGCATGAAGCCAGATACCAAGTTTTTAGAAAATAACCAAAGATCAACAATTTTCAACCGATCTGCAGCGTACCCTTCATTCCAATAAATCAGATCCTACTGTCGGTAGTCTGGGATCATAAAATAACAGAATGCTAAATTCATTCCAAATATTATTGGCAGTCAACTAATACAAGTCAGGTTAAAGAAGATTTAAAAGTATTAAAACATGATTATACATGTCCTGGATAAAAATTAACGTACATGAAAAATGAGGAGATTCAAGAAAGAATAGCGTAATACTATTAACACCGTAAGATAAAACCACATTTGAATTGAAATTATCGATTAATTGATTGGTTGAACCAATAAATTTAATTGGGTAGTTAAGGTTAGTTAAAAGCTAATTAAGTCGAGAATACACACACATTTCATCGGGGGATTTACTCCAACGGAAATTACAGCCAACTGATCTAGTCGCTCACTGCAATAACATCACTAACAAATGCGACATCTGACTGGATTCGTGAAGCGTTTATTTGGTCGTTATATACACACAAAATGACAGCCTAGAGTATTTAAAGCAGTTTTGAACTGAAATACGATTAATTAATACGTATTGGTTGTCCTTGACCATGCGAGGGGTCGATGACCTGTTCAATATTCAGCGACCCAACTACCTGATGACTTGGCTATGACTCAAGGTCATTTCACTGGCCCCACAATATAGAGTTTCCTGAAGTTCGCATTTATCCATTCTCTTTGGTTTGTGTTTGTGTTGTCTATGATTAACACTTACATATTCAACTTAACCAAGTAAGACGCTGTTAAAACCGTACAAATTTGAGCGGCATTTTTTATCAATATCTGGGGCATTTTCCTAGAATTTATACAGTCAGCCTCTGATGACACTTGGGTTCTTTGGGTAGGTCGGTGTACTACCATCAACAATTGGCATTGGAGTTGAGTCAAAAGTTTCCGACACATAAAATCTATCCAGTATATCGGTCATTTATATTATTCTTAAGGTCAGAGGCGATGCATGCCTTCAGAAATGTCACTATCAGTGCTGAGTAACTGTGGAGTTACTTAACACCACAGACATCTTCCTTTATGTAGATTAAGGGATGGATTTACAGTGGTATCTCGAACCATCAATCGCTCACAGATGACTTATCTTCTGTTAAGATCTTTGCTCGGCAACCCCTGAGATTACCAGTCAATTTTACAATGACCACAATGGAATGAATGTAGATTGTGATTTAGCTGTTCCAGAAAAGTCCTCCATGACTGGAACGATCTGCACCGGAAATTGGGATTGTATATCCTTGTAATCTATATAAACAATCGAAAATTTTCTGAAGCACTCACTACAGGAGGTAACTTAGGTCAGTCAACCTACTATTTTTGCCTACAACCGAGTACTTGTTCAATGTTGATTAAACATCCTTGCCAGATTTTCCAGTTGTGCGTTGCTTGCTGTTAAATGAAGGACGAAGATGCCCTTGCAGATTTCCTAGCTCATAAAAAGCGTCTAACAGATATATTTTTCCCTAATTCGAGATCAGCTATTATTTCTCAGTGGGTTATCTTGAATATTCAGCATTACAATTCTGACAGTGATACGAGTGCTTACAATGAATTTTGGAAATTTTTGCTGAGATTGCAGAAAATTATCAGAAAAAGTTTTTCTGAAGGTTTGTAGAACTTTAAATAATATTTTTCAAAGGTCTTGATGGGTGTATTTTGAGTAAGAAGTTGAAGTTGAACATTCAGACGAGCAATTATCGTCTAGAGGACTACATTAGACATAGCAATGTTTCAAGTAATAAAATTTAAATTTAGGCCTCACTAAAAAGAAGGTTCTCGCAGATCTCTTACTCGTTCAGAGCTTGATTGCTTTCATCTCATATATGACATGTACCTCGATTTTCTTCTGAAACGCAAGGTATATTTATTTTTAAGTTGTCATATGAAAAATATTCTTCAAAACTGTTTGATGACTCCATACTATTTTTGTGGTGTCATCTCCATAAGAGCGTTCCGGTATCGTCTGTATTAAAGCAAACCTCCAAGTGGAGGTAATATTTTCATGAACTGTGTAAACACGTATGGTGTCTGGATGAGACTATGATCTGAATTTTCGAAAGGCTCACAAACTAAGCGTTTCAAATGATGCCATTGGGATTAGTATGTAGAGCGAAGATAGGCTTTAGGTAAAGTATGCAACATGTTCCGACCATATCCTATGCCGCTTCCAAGCATTTAATTATTTCTCACCTATACTAAGCATTCTAGAGCTAACATCGTGTCACCGATGACATCTTTAGGACAAGTTCTAAAAAAACAAGTGTTTATTAGTAAGGATCTGTTACCTTTAGCAATATTTTGCCAACTAAGGTATACGAATTTCGTTTTTACGCTGTAAATCGACATATAAGCTGCCGAAGTCGCGTTCAGTAGGTTGACGATCGTTGTTTATGTGTATGAAATATGCTTACCATTTATACTTAAATTGACTTTGTAAACCTAGTAGGAATCTGTCTAAACCATTAGAAGTAGTTGCACATCTTTCTCGCGAGTTTTTTGTGATGTTGTGCAATTAGATAGAGTCGGTCTACATATAGTGAAGAGTACAAAGATTCATTCCAATCTAGACCACCTTCAAGGCCGTTGCAATGCTAGTCTGGGCATAGGTTGTGCATAAAATTATGCTATCAGTTATGCTTAGTGCCTGTAAACGTGGTATTGTTAACTTGAGCATGTTTGGTGATTTACTGTTCTATCGACGTTCTCAAAGGGCCGTTCACTCTTATATTAATAATACTTTAGCCATTAAGATATTTAAGTGGGTGCATTAGCGGCTTGAGCATGATAGATTTCATCCCAGTGGTTTTCATATCATATGGCATTTGCTTACTGAGATAGGATGGGAAAATCAAATCGATATTCAGTTTATAATATGGTACAGAGAAATGAATGATAAACTGGTATCTGTTGGTCCATCATTATTATGTGGGTAGAATTTTAAAAACTACACATCTCAGTAGTGTGAAAAGTCACCAAACATAAATAAAAATATAAATCCGTGGCGATCACTTTTTAGTTCATTTTTGAACTGGTTGTTTGGATCTTCCCTGAGTGAACATCAACTCTGGGATACAGGTACATCCAGCTAACGAGTCTCAAATAAGACGAAACATGCGTCCTGGATTTCATGGCTAGTCACTATCCATCTCTGCTTATGATGATCACGCCTTAGTTTTCCATTTGGTTCTTCATTAAAATAAGATGCGCGTATTATCTGGAAAGTAGCCTTAGTTTTTTCCCACTTAATTAAAGTACATTTTTGAATATATAGTATTCTTATTTATTGATTGATTTTGCGACACTTTCCTGTTTTATTCACCATATTATTTCGCTCTGTTTGATATTGTTTTAGTCCCATTTTGTGCCAAACGTTTTATAATATAAAGATAGGAATAACCGCTCATTTGTAATCTACCGTCATTGATAAATGGTACTAGATAATAGTCTCATCTACAGCAAAATTTAAAGTAGGTTAGCTATTTAGTATGTTTAGACTATACTAATATCATCAAGACTGATTAAATTTACTGAGTTATATAGTGAAGTCATTAAAACCACAACCTTGTTTCAGTTAATAACAAATCCAAACAAACATTAAGACAACACTGACTTCGGGAAACGTGACGTTTTGTTTTAAATATTCTTACAATGGCATTGAGGATGTTCAGAAGAAGGAATTTTGCCTGTATTTTCAGTTAACTGTATTGTGTTAGATGCTTTCAGTTAGTTGTAGTAAATCTAGACAAAAGATTTGAATTTTTCGTATTTTAGTTTAGCCCATACAACGTTTACATAGTTAGGGACGGCCAAACCAGAACGTGGTATCAGTCATTGAAGTCACTAATGTCTAGATGCAGCCATGTTGGTAGATGTAGACTACTTAGTTGGGGTCCGCGTGACTTCATAGCCAATGTTTGGAGACTCTGGATGACATGGCTCAGAATCAGTCACAATGGCATAGGTGTATACACTTTTTGTCTTCCCTGAGATTAAAATTACTTTATACCTTTTCTTCCTAATTCTTTCTTCTTGTATTATATCCTTACACACAATCTTTCTTTTATATATTGCCATCATTGAAATAACTACTCTTATCAATTTGGTGTCCATCTTGTGTTAATGAGGTATGGCAACTTGGACTGATGCATATATGTGCCTGGTCCTACGTTGTAGCTGACTGACTGACTAACGACGTTTGCAATTGTGTACTAGGCTTTGAGGCACACAGTTTGTGTAGTACCCAACTAAAGTAATTGGATCGGTGTTCAAACATGTGAGTGACTAGTTAGAAGGCTAGTGCTTCGACCACCAAGCCTCTGCGTTTCTTCTAAAAGGATATTCATGACGAAATTATAGTATGGATTCAGCATTATTAATTAAAGCCATCCGACTCAAATATTTCGATTGAGAACAACTGGAGGGAATTCCTTCTAACATATGTAACTTAAACTATCATTTCAGCCAAGAACTGTGGCTTTTTCCTGGTTGATGTTTGTTAAAGCTATCTTAAGTATATTAAAAGTAAAGCAGCTCTATCAATGTCTAGTTAGGCAAGCTATATAATTGATGCAGTCAAGTGTCCAGGTATATGTTCTTATATTTGGTTTCTAATCATATCTTTCTGTAGCCAGTACCACTAACTGGTTCTCAATTTAAGTCTCAACATACCAAATTGCAGCTGCAAGTTTGTCTGAATCGTCTAGAGTTTTGATTACTACACATAACTGCTTGTAAAAACGACCCAACAAGCCCTCTTTCTCGGCTGCACTTCCTTAACAGCCAGATTTTTTCGTTACTGCGAGCAAAGATTCGATGAAAGTATCAGTAATCTACCATATTAATTCCTTTTTCCAATCGTCTGTAACATTTAATTACATTTGAGGAGTAATCATATTAATTATATCTGTTGGTGATAAATGGTTACATTTATGATATTTTGTATCTGTATTTATTCAACAAATTATTGGTCAACTAACGTCAAGTACTACTCAGTTTAATATATCCGAGTCCGAATACTAATCAGTGTAAATCATTTCAAAATTAGTGTATTCAGACACCAGTTTGATTTATTTTTACTTTCAAATAAATCCCCATTTAATACCTCCGTGTTCCTATTCCCATTCTTCGATTCATAGTTTTCTTGTTGAAGTACCAAAATATTTGGCAGTAAGAACAGCTGTAATCTTTGTACTCTTAACAGGTTTAAAGGATTTTTTAATACCGCTCATTACCACTGTATTCTCCGTTTCTTTTGTTATCACATCGTTTTCCGATGTGATATATAGTATAGATATTGAAATATTCGGAATACAGTTTAAATCGCAATTTCAACAGACTGCAGTTGCCAGTTCGTTAGGTCATATAGTTAGCACCCACTGCATTAGTGGGGTTTGTTTTTAAGCAATTCTTTACCGAGAGGGTAGGAAGAAAATTGTGAAGATAATGACGGGGCTGACGGTCTTGAGCAATCGTTAGTCAAGTGCTATTTCAAAGGAGCAGATGTTTAACAGTTCTTTTATCTTCACTTATTGTGCGATTGTTGGAAGATCTAGTCAATTATTGATGATGACTGTAGATACACGACTATCTAGGTCTTGATAATTAAGATACAGTATTAAGAAAGATTCTGGTTTGTGTTGGGAAATTATTCATATTACACACGGCAAAGCCAACACCAAAACTTTTCCTTCAAACTTAAAGTTATTGCTAGTTACTGAAACTGTAATGCTCACTGTTTGTGGTCTTATCGATGTTCAGTCAAGTTTCTTAGTCCGGTAGAATATACCTTTAGGTAGATCTAACCTGCTGGATTGGGACTTGGTACTCATCTATTTCTGAACTTCAGTTATAACCTAGAGACATGAGAACATCTCTCCTATATTACTAAATTCAGTCACAAGAGAATCGTCTTAAACAATAATCTTCTGTAATATGTTCCAAATGTCTCAGGAAACCTCTCAACTAGTCTGAAATAAATGAGCTTTGTTTTCGTCTAACATGCAAGATTAATTTATTACTTTTCACATTCGTTGTTAGGTTAGTCCACAGCTACTTTGATTTGTTTTTCACGAGTCAAGGCTTTTTTAGTATGGGAAAATATCGAATAACTAAGTGGGGTAGTTTTACACACTTGTATCACTAAAATAGAAAGCTTTTCAAACTAGAAATGATCCGTCTTCACTTTACTAAGTTTTGGGTCTTCATTTATTCCTTATATGTTTTTCTTCAGAAAAGGCATTGATAATTTCACCCAGAGTTGTTCGCAAATATTTAGTAGAAATCTTTATTCTAATTTTTTTTCATGGCCACACATTTTATTTGATCTTTGTATTTTAATTATTTTAATTATCGATTAGTTCGCTCGAATTGTGAAACTTAGAATAGATCAAAGTGTTCTACCAATCGCTAACTTTAGAACAGAATTATTATCTACACTATCTAAACACCAAGTTGTGATAGTTGCTGGTGATACTGGTTGTGGAAAGTCAACACAAGTACCACAGTACCTATATTATGGTGAATCAAACTCAAATGATACACCTGGACCTAACTCCTATCAAAATATTGCTGTTACTCAACCTCGTCGCATCGCGTGTATTAGTTTGGCCGCACGTGTAAGTACTGAGATGTTGAATGAAAGAGGCTCCAAAGTTGGATATCAAGTAAGTTGGGACGAGATTTTTAAAAATACTTTCTAGCTGTCATGATACTTTAAATTTTAATAAACAGGACTTACCTTTTATAGAACTAGTTTAAAGTTATATGTCCTGTTCTCAAATGATTTTGAATATCTGTACTGAGATTCAGGTGCATTCACTTAACGTGCCCCATGTATAGGGAAGGGATTCATATCTTGGATTCCACTTCTATCAATAATCCAAATATCACAAAGCTTGTAACTTAGAGGCGATGTCGGGGCATCTGTTCAAGATGAATATACGCAAACAAAAATTTATCAAAGTATAATCTTGAATACTAGCAACGGGAAACACAAACATATAAATTCACTGTTCTCCTGATACATTCTTGTTGAATAAAGATTTTGACAAATTTTAAAAGATCGGTTTTCGGGTTTTAACTTTTCTTACTCATTTTGAATAATATGATTTGCAGTGTATACTTCAATTAAAGTCTAATATACCAATGACAACTGATGTGGACTGCCAAGTTCATATCTGATTGGAAATGCTAATGTAAATTTATATCACCCAGTGTATGGTTTCATATTAAATGTAACGTACTTTGCAGATTTCCTTACTAGTCACTACCAAAATAATATCATAACTTTCCTGAAGATAATATATTGATGTATGTATCAAGAATCAGATCTTTTTGATTTGATATTATGGAAACCTATGAATAAAAAGGACAGTAATTGATGACTTTAATTGTCATCAATTTTCAGAGCGGAATTAAATTTGTTTCCATCTTATTGTATAAATGTATGAATTTATTCTACTAACAAGATACGCTTATATTTTTCTGAAAAATATTTTATTAGGTCCGTTTTGAACGAAGTCGAACTAAGGCTACACGAATTCTTTTTCTCACAGAAGGTTTATTGTTACGTCAAATGCAGATGGATCCATTTCTGAGCGACTATGATGTCATCGTTCTTGATGAAGTAAGTAAGGAGATTATATGTTTAAATATGAAATTTGTTCCATGTAGTGCTTTGAATAAACTTATAAAACTAAAGATAAATTAAGCGAATTGTATAATTCGGAAAGGAAATTTGTGTTGATTCAGATAAATCCAAGCATGAAATTTTTTTACTAGTACTATGGATTTTCTTCACAAGTAGTTACCAACTTGCCAACATAATTTGGTGAAATCTCCGTATATTATTTAACTGTGAGTTATATACTAAATCATTTAATCCGTTTGAATTTTAGCATTCGGTGGGATGAAAAAATGGCAGGAATTTCACACATAAGCTACCTAAGTAAAATTTGTGTGTTTTATGGATAAATATTTTAACTATCTTATAGAGGACTAATAGGACGGGAATTTTATTTACTTAAGAATTTCTGTTGATCGTTCCCAAACACTGTGGTATCATATCATTTAACCTTTTCAAATCCACTCTTTGATTGATGTGGTACTTTCAAGATATAATTTTCTTTACCATGTAGTCACCTCTAAAAATAGTATCATTTGATCTATAACAGCCTCAATACTTTTTACTGAATATCGAACAAATATCTTCCTTTCATCACCAACCTTCTAAAACAAACGAGCTAATAATCCTCAAGAATCAAGCATGTTTCAGAAGCTGAAATCAGGTGAATGAAATTTGACGGATCCAACTTAATGGGCGAGTACAGACTAGTTTATTAGGGTTTTTATATTTATTTTTTAACGGTAAAATACGTCTTTTAGTTGTACAAACTGAAGTAGGTGAAAAGGGGTAAGTTTCGGATTAAGGAACTGAAAATTTAGTCCTTCGACTATCCAGCTACAGTTTCACAAGAAGTCATTTCCGGAGCGCTAGAACTTACTGAAAATTAATATTTCACTGGTCAGTGTAGTCAGAGTACATATCAGGAAAAACACCAAAAAATTCTATCTCGTAGAAACTATTCTTTGGATAATTTATAATGGTTGACAACTGATGAAATTCTGAAAATCGCGGTATACTTTCGAAATTTTCTGGCTTGAATATTATTAAAAATTAATGGATTTATCTAAAATAGACTCGGTTTTAGGCATTTATTGAACAGAAGCTCAACCAGAAATTCAGACCTTAAATAACAAAGTTTTCGAATAAATTCCCAAATTCAAACAATCAAACCAGTTGTTAACATAGTTAATTGTAGCAGAAATGTAATTCTTGAAACAAAGATTTCTTGAATTCTGGTTGAAAAATTTCCACAAATTAGTACAGCTTGTTTAGTCTCATTATTATTTCGTGAACATCAACATGTGTTTTATAAGTTTCAGAATTTATTATGAGCAGGTTTTAGTTGGTAAAATGATAAATATGTTGTTGGTTGATAAAGGATGCAATCATCTACGTGGATCCCCAAGCGATCTGGCTCTAGAATATGATTTAGCTGGTCAAGAAAATTAAATATTTCCCATGGCACACACAATATATCAGTACAAAAAATGATCATGAAATATAATTTGAAACGTAAGCGATCATACGGGTTTTTTAGAAATCATTCACCAGCCAGTGGAATTAAGAGCTGGCTATTAGGCTTAAGGTTTGCCCGTCATATGAAGATGAAATGTATCTAGAGTTTCTTCATGAAAATCCGAAGCAAGTTATGAATACTAAGACTGTTCGGCGTACTTCATACACTAATTTGTTATATTCTCTGAAAATACTCTAGTTGTCCTCTTTCATTTCGCATTGAATATTATCAAGAGTACAATCATACAGTAACAGTGCCGCTTCATTAAGTCGTTTTTCTTGAGTGAGGTTGGTATTGTCTTTACTATCAATTTGACGATAAGATAACTGTTTTGCTCCAGACATGACAATCAAGCAATAGGAAAATCATCTCTTATTGAGTTGGCTTTCTCTCTGTATTGCTATCTTTTTCTTCTGGTCTAGAGTTTTTTTCTACCGAAATTCGACAGTTTGTGAATGGTTTCAAAATATTTTTGATCAAACTATCTTGACATTGTTATCGTCCAACTCATATTAAGTTTTCCATTTGGATTAGAACTTTTATCGGACTGTTTTATTTGGCAGCTTTCAGCGGATAATTCACGTATACTGCGATAAAATAATTAAGAGGGATCCGTTTATTTTCGATGTATATTTTTAACGCTTGAATAATCCTGACAGTTATGGTGATTTTTATGTATCTGTATCTAATAAATGGTTGTAGACGAAATCCCAATTGATACTCTGACTACTTTTTTGTTTAATTAGTAGTCAACTTCAACATTAGAAATAAAAAAGTAAAATTATTTGACTTTTGTACAAAATTTGTCTAGTGAGACATCATTTTTTCATAGTCCTCCATGTTTAATTGTGGGGCTAATTTAAACATAATGATAGCTGATTTTTATATTGTCAAGTTTTAGTGATGACTTCTTTCATTAATTTTAAATGTGACCACTAATTCAAATAACTGGACATCGCAATACACTTCGTCTTTTTAAGTGATTATATCTCATTTCCACTTGAATAACACACCCAAGGTCAGTCGAATGCAGAGGATTATCTTGGGTTCCCGCGAGATTTATCTACAAGTGCTTATAGACAGCAAATGGTTCTATAGTAAATAGTAAGTGGCTTTGATTAAGGAACTCACATTCATGCTGATAAACTCAGCAACAGCGGTCAGCTCTCAAAACAGACAAGCAAAAGTCCCATACTAGGATGAAATAGCCGTCTAGTGGTTATTTAGCTAGGATTAGTCCAGGATGTTGATAAGGAAACTGACAATTGTTTTAGTTTTGGTGATTTCCCTGTTTTATATCTACTACCTAGGTAAAACCTCTAGTTCACTTGCTTGTGAATTATTTTTAGTCGATCTTTATATATAAATACCGTTTAGTATCAATTTTCCTATCCCTATGTTAAACGACCTTTCAAATTTACAGGTGACACGCTTTAGACATGTTTAAGCCGTAATCATTGTAAATATACATTATTTTAGTGTATAACGTCTAATTCACTTACAAATTATTTCTGTATTTCTAATTCTGGCTATTACAATACAATAATTATGGATTGAAAACTGTAGAGCCTAAGTTTATAGGTGTCAATGCTAAGGTTAGACTTGATAGTTTTAAATAAATTGAGCTTTAGGAAGAAAAGTTACCAGTTAATATATGTTTTGGTATATTCCAATGAGTAGAAAAATTGTATTTCTGACGTTTTGTGACTTCATATAAGCCACTCCTTTAGAGCCTGACGGTGAAGTTATTGAAAACAATTGTTCTCACAAATAGCCCTTGTCTTTTGAAATAAATATAAATCCGGTAACTCATAATCTTATTCCTAATCCATATGCCTGTCTGGAAGGGTTTATAAATAAGACAAAGGACTTCATATTGTATCCTTCCACGATCCATCTAATTATTTACATATAGATCGTTCGCATTGATAAGATTTTGTTTTCATTGAATTCATAAACCATAGACCATCGAAAACCTGGAAGCACTGGGTGGTTGAAGGTAGACATTAACACTGTTGGATACCGACTCAGTGGTCTTGTGCTTAAGCGTTCGCGCGGGATCATAGGCCCTGGCTTCAAGTCCCGCGTGCGGGATCGTGGATGCGCACTTTTGAGGAGTTCCAGGTTAGGGCGAAACGACCGTCCAGTGCTTCCAGGTTTTCGATGGTAGTCCAACATTGATCGGCCCTTGATTTCAATGAAATTCAACAATCTCCACAACCTCATACTCAAAAGATTTTATTTGTAATGGAGAAAATTCCAACTTTTGGTCAATTTGACACAATATGAAATTAGCTTAGTATCTGTATCTTTCTGCTATAGTATAGTACATCTGGTTCGACGAACAACTTTGTCTCCTAAATGACGATGTTCACAGCTGACTGTATCTTCTCTTATTTCCTTCTTTTGGGGTTTTTAGCCATCATTGCGCTTAATTCATTTCATTTCCTAACTCTTCTTAATCATTGTATGACTTTAAATCTAGTAAATAGAGCTTTACTTTCTCGTTTCCTGTTTTTGTCAATCATCTGATTGTAAGCACGATGGAAAACTAAGTAAAGGCCCTACCTATCTTTTTTCTTACTACTAACACTCCTCGGCGTAATGTAAGAAAAAAATATATATATATGACAGGATTAATAACACTAAAATATTATTCCTTCCACAGGTACATGAACGTCACTGGCAAACTGATTGTTTATTAGGACTTGTTAAATGTCTTATAGTTGTCCGTCCAAAACTTCGTGTAGTTCTGATGTCAGCTACCATAAATGTGAACACATTTGCCAAATTTTTTAATGATTGCCCAATTATACAGGTAAATTTTTTTTACTTTCGTATTAACTTATGGCATAAAATGATTTAGAAAGAAATAATAGTGAAAATCTATGTAGAACAGACTGATGGTTTTGATGTTCATTCATTGTTATCATAGGACCTGGGAAGAATGTGTATCGATACGTATCGTCATACTTCATATCAGCACGATGTGCGCATCGTAGGAAATTTTCTGTATTATATATAAAAAGAAAGAGATCGAGATCTACATATGAGAGATACAGTACGAATAAATACTATAGGTATGAGAGTGAAACTTAAGGAGTGACACTCAACTCATAATTTAAAAGAAGAAAAAGATAAAGAATAAATGCAACTGTGTCATTATGACCAATGTTGCACCATGATTTCAATAGCTGAATAATGTCTTATCCGGATTGTTTGATAATTAATGTTTCCTTTCCATATTAGAATCTATGCTTAGGGTAATATTCATATGGAAGTTTTAAAGTGAAATTTATATTTGCCTGTTTGTAACACTTTTGACTTCATGTTCTCAGGAGCTTGAATGGAATTTACTTTGGTCATCTTAATTCAAAGTTGTTAGAACATGAAGGTGAATTTTCTAATGTAAATCTAAGTAATTCCCCTTCATGTTAAGCTTGCTTCTGACTTCTATCTTAGTTACTAAACTATCCAGTTGAGAGAAAAAAACTACTGAAATGACTATTGTTTAAAATTCTATTCATGACGTGTTGAGTGGGTTATGGATTCCTAAAAAAGTTAAGAAATAAGAAGTTAGTTTATTTCTTGAAGAATTAGAGTTTTTAAACTTGTAAGTAAGCGTAAGGTTGCTGGTGATCTCATCTCTACGTTCTTTTAAAATTGTTTCCACAGTGAGTTTTAAGAGAAGCGTTTTGCTAAGCCAGGTATTGTGTTTCTGAATTCCATACATTGTGATGCATAAACTGGGATGCTACACATTTAGTTAACATTCAGCATAGAAACCTTATGAACATGTCCGTGAAGAATTCGTTTAGTTCATGCGTTTTCGAACCTTTGTTCTTCATACAAAGAACTTTATGAGTGTTCTTTCCTGCAAACTGAGTCACTATTTCAAAAAAATCTAATGAATCCGCTCTCATTACCCTATCTCTTTGCAATTTATAATCATTTATCTTAGGTTTTATCCAGTAAACATTTTCTGTTTGCATATGCTTCCTCTTTGTTCACTTTACACTAATTTGTCTCCTTATTATCCCTACTTTATATATCTTAACACGACCGTTTGGGATCATTTCCCTTGCTCATTTTTCAGTGTTGATTTCTTTAGTCTGTTAACCAAATATCCGAGATAACATTTTGCTCGCAAAATTTTGTGTATGACTAAGCATGAATTATTAATAGGTGCCTGGACGTCTTTACCCCATCGATTTGCACTACATTCCACTCAGTCCAGTTGAAATTGCCAACACAACTGACAGAATTGATCCTGCGCCGTATATTCGTTTACTAAGACGAATAGACGTAACATATCCCGCTACTGAACGAGGCGATCTTTTGATATTTTTATCTGGAATGGCTGATATTCAAGTGAGTTATTATGTTGTTTACCTTCTCATTTCATTTTTCGCGTAATTACAGGTGACAACCATATTAAAAGCTGCTATCCATTTGATCAAAAGTTATATCAAGCAAATATTAAGGAGATAGAGAATTCATTTTATCATCCATATTTTTATTCTGTCGGTAAAATCATATCAGTATCCCAGTGGCCTGCTATCACCAACTCAATGCTTACTATAAGATTATTTTAGTTTGGCACGGTAGCCATATAAAGTTTGATTTATACGAGAACACGAACTACTCATAAGTAGTTTAAAACGAAATGAAAAGTTATTAGATTGTAAGGTAATAAACGCTGTGAAATTTCTGAAAATTCATGCTATAATATATGATTTGCGGACGATAACCAGGCTAAGTACCTCCACAGCTAAATTGTTACTTTATGCATAAGGTTTTTGACCTATAAAAGTTCGATTTTATTGACATTATATTGAATGTAGATATAATTAAATAAACTGTCCCTTTCCAATCAATATTTTTGCTCATTTTAGTGACTTTTAAGTTCTTTTCATTTAGAGGTCAAATTTCATCGAAGTATCTTTTGGTTGTTTCAGATATCATCCTTAATTTAGTGCAGCTAAGCCAAAAATTATTTATTTATTACTTTATTGGCAGTTAGAAAAAATAATCTAGAAACGATAATGCGAAGTCTTACGTCTTACTTTTTCTTATCTATGTTCCTCATTCTGTTTTTTTCTAATGCCCAAGCTGTGATAATGTTTTATCTATGCTGTTTTTTTAGAATAACACGTTTTCAACTTAATTCTTCCTCTGTTTTTCTATTTTGTTGCGAAAGGCAATAATGGAACCAGCTAAAGCATATGCTGAAGAAACAAAACGATGGATTATTTTACCATTGCACAGTGCATTATCTGCATCAGATCAAGAGAAAGTTTTTCATGTTGCTCCAGACTGTGTACGTAAATGTATTTTATCAACAAATATCGCCGAAACCTCTCTAACTATAGATGGAATAAGGTGTGTCGCATATATTGAAAATTGGTAATTATTATAAACTGTTGTGTCTCGTATCATTTGTGCGACTATAATTCGACAGTCTACTTTTTACAAACATAAATAAACAGATCAGTCTTGAATTAGTTACATTCTATCTATCGTATACAAACGATCTTAATTGGATAACCACTTTTTCTGTACTGTGTTCGAAAGTATCTCTGAATGATTTATTTCTGAGATAGCTGCCCTTTAAATTAATTAGAAATTATTCATTTCAATTGTCACTTATTATTGACTGAATCGAGTTGATAGAGGTCCATGTAGTTAAGATGTTTCTCTTTGAAGTCCCCAATTATGAACTTAGCCCTTTATGTTTGTGTTTTACCCATAATTACTGGAGACAAACAAAGTACAGCTCTCGATCCAAAATTTCACTTCTAATGAAGCCACACTAAAGCTTTGGAAATTGGTCCATGTGTACACTTCCTCAAGTTGTGAGGTTTCAAAACATTGAATTATTGATAGGAGGAGTTTGCACTTGAATTGAATTCCAAGAGGTTTATTCATGGAGGAGCTTTCATAAATGCACAAAAAGTCATTATCGAATAATTTTAGCATAGAAAACATAATCAACCGGAAACATTCACTTAAACTATACATTTTTAGATTATATAGTGTCCTCATTACTTTCAGTGCTATTCTCAACGTTGTCGTAGATTTGAATTGTCCCTCAATATATGTGATTCTTTGTTGTTTTTCTTAAAACAAACACAAATTTTGTTCTTAAAGATTTGTAGCTGATTCCGGCAAAGTCAAAGAATTGAGTTGGGATTCTAAAGCACGAATGCGTTGCTTAAAAGAATTTTCAATATCTAAAGCAAGTGCTAATCAACGTAAAGGTCGTGCTGGTCGTACAGGTCCTGGTGTTTGTTATCGTTTCTATACTCAAGAGGATTATGATAATTTTGAGGTAAATGAACTAAACTGATATTTTCTTTGATTTATTCCATTTTGTAGTGTCACGAAATAATAATAAGTACGTTTTTATTCAGTCTATGAAACAGTGACTTAGTCGTTAAAGAACGTGACTTTGAACCAGTGGGTTTCTAGTTTTACTTGTATTACGTCTACTTTGGTCTGGGTAGGCAGTTGGTAACACCAACTCACACACATAAAAAGGTGTAACTCAAAGCTGAGTACATGGACCTGATATCTACCTATACAGTTTGTGGAACGAATTGCTTATCATTTTATCGTGAATTTTGTGTATGTTATCATACATAACTAAATTCAGTGCATTGTAACTAATACGTTCTGCGTTGTTAAAATACCAAACAAAGTAGTAGTCAATAGGTAATGTTGTCGGCGGAATAGGCTTTTCCTCGGAATAAATAATACATTTATGTATAAGGTATTAATGTGGAAGTAAACATGATTACGTGTCATTTAACGCATAAGCGATTGCTGAATACAAGTTTCTTCAGTCGCCCATGCACCAAAGACATGAACGTCAATCTTAATTCTTGCCTAATTATTTCATGTCGCTTTTAGACAGAATACTGATAAGAAATCCTGGGTTTTTTTGCAACGCTTTACATAGATTGATGACTTTATTTATTTATGGAATGTTTTTTTCTTATTCAACAATTAAATGTCAGGGTATGTGTAAGTCTATATAAAAGCTAAGGAAGAACCAAAATATGTTTATGGAATTCGGACATTTGGTAAATTTTAAACACGGGCCTATTCATGTTCCTTAATTTGATTGATCAAACTCATAAACATTACCATTTTCATATCTCTTTTATAAGTTTCCAGGACGTTAAGGTCACTTATAATTCAATTAATAACTTCGAATTCTTATTGTTAAAATAACTTCTAAGTTACGCTCCTGTTGTATTTCCCCCTTTTTATTTGCTTGGAATTCGTAGATTGGTGATAGTCTGTAAGTCAAACAAGTAGTTAGCATTGTAACCTCTCTATGCCTACACTTAAAAATATGAGGCGGTTGTCTAAAATTGATTTTGAGTTATTCAGTTGAAAATCGTTCACCCTAAATGCAGTTGAATTTCATTACTGAAAGTTTTCAATCATATTTCATGTATTTAAAGACTGGAGAAATTATTGACATTTTTTATCACTTATGTCCTCCATTTGTTTTATTTCTAGGCATTTAGTACCCCGGAAATTCGTCGTGTTCCTTTAGAAACACTTGTTTTACAAATGATGGTCATGGGTTTACCAGATATAAAAAAATTCCCTTTCATTGACCCACCTGAAACGAAATGCATTGATGAAGCACTTGATATATTAAAGGTATGCTTAGTCTATGTGTAGTTAGTGTATTGAATAATAAGTCAGATTAATTATCCCAGCAATTGTCATAGTAAGATTTTAATTAAAATATTTTTCCAGTACCATTCATAATCCTTGAAATATCATCCAAAGTTTATTGTAATGTATTTTTACTGCATTCACACATTATATTTCTTAATTTTAAAAACAGTTATAGTCTGTTTGATCTGTCCCATTTTGATATAATTGTTGGCTTTAGTGTTAACGGTTTACAGGGAATCCAGTAAGACTTGATAGTTAAGAGAATGCATGGTAGCTTGTTAAGAGTTTCATCTGGTCAACATATCTTTTGTATTTGTGAGAATTAAAGCGATGATTAAAAAACGGATGCTAATCGAACCTCTACAATCTATTTGATAAATTACCCAGTGTTTAAAAAAGTGAATCCTGATTGTAAAGCTCATTAAGAGGAGAAACATTGATTTCCATCTATACCTTGCTGACAGTTTTTTAAATGTTATAAGGTATGTGTTTATAATTCTACCAGTAGCTACTATTAGTTATCTTCTGCTTTTTACGTGGTTTGTACTACACATGAATATTAGTTGGAAATGGCATCCAGAATCAAAGATTGCTAAACAGATGCTTTTATTTGTTCTAAATGAATGAGTTAAATTCTATTCTTTTCATTAAATAATGGTTGAGTTCGATATATATATATATATATATATATATATATATATATATATACTCAGTCACACAGTTTGTTTGGCCTTACTAACTTAAGCTGGAGAAAAGTTCAGATTTCTACTAAAAAAACCCAGGTATATTGCGCATCAGTATCAACTTTAATGTGAAACATATCCCCTTAAGGCAAAATCTATTCTTAATTTGCTAATAATTCGATCATAGGCATATTCAAGGTCTTACTGTTATTTAGTAGGTCTGGTTAGCGTTTTTAAGTCTACCGAGTGAATAATTCTGAAGTTAGACATATAGCACAAGATAAAGGCGCTAAGACGATTAGTGACGCCATAAGCCTTCATCTACTGAACCAACCATTGCTTACTCCCACATCTTATGTCGGCTATAACAGGATTAGATTGGAAGGAGTTTAATGATGATTCAAGCGAAATAGCGCGTCAGTTCAACAGACTGTTAGACTGACCTATCCGAGGAGATGCATATATTTAGGTTGGAAATAGATCAGTAATTCTTGATTAATAAAGTAGCACATTGTAACAAAGCATCATTTAAATATTACTGATGAGTTTTATATACATTTTGTTGAGTGACTTCATACTGTTTAACTGACTGAATTCAGTAATAAGAAATTCCCTAATTAGGTTTCGTGTTGGGTTAGCACTGATCAGCAATGCATATCTGCAATCTTAAGGGAACTAATGACCTTGTAGAGAATCAAACCTACATCGCTTATTAGCACGGTCATATACATTACCAGTGAGCTATTCAGACATCTACTAATCAATCTCGTGTGAGATTATGATGTTTAAAAGAATTGATCACCCTGTAATCATCTATACCACTGATAATCTATTTAATCTCGTTTTGACCTTCACTTTTTTTCATATTGAAACATTGCACGTGATTATTTTTTGTTTAATTTTCATACTATTATGGAATTCACTAACTTACATTGTGATTTCCTCGTGTTTATCATCTGTTCACAGCCTTCTTTTGGATCAATTTTCCATCACGTATTTTACTTCACCGCTATTTATTTCTTATTATATGTGTTCAAGATATTTTCTTAAGGTTAACCGATTTATAAGCTCTCATTTTTGTGCTAATGTTAAGTAGTTATTTGGTTGACTATTGCATTTCATATTATGGTGTTATAAAACACTTTTCTAGTTGCATATTTTAGCTGTTTCATAAGAGAGACTCGGTGTAATTTTTAGGCACAAAAAAAGTGAGCTTTAAAACTTCTTGCTGATCATCTTGAAATATTTAACAGTGATTTTTATTATGTCCACTTATTTACTGTATTTTTCGCACACAGTTGATACTCACAGCGTTAATTCCTATTTTTCTACAGCCTCTAGTTGCAAACCGAGATTATTATTCACAATTACGTTTATTTATTAACATGTATAACCTATGTAAGTAAACATGTAAAATACCAGGCTACATTATGTTACAATTTATAAATCGTAATAGGCACACAGTTAAGAGATGTTCTCTACAGAATTAAGCGTAACCCAATCATAGTTCATCATTTTTTTTAGTTTTTGATTAGTAATGGATTTACCATTAATTAGCTGATAAAAGAGAGATTGCTATTAATTTTGTGTTAAATTGGTGTTTTACAAAGTGATATAAATTAGTTAAAAAATAACTTTCTGAGTTTTGTATTTTTCTCTATCCACATCTACGCAGCATCTTCCTCTTCTTGAACCATAAGTAGTTGCCCATATGGGTTTGTACAGCATCAAATTCCTTGTGGCCATCTCAGAAATGGCTTTGATTTCCTCTCGAGTGTCATTATAACTTTTATTTGTGAATCAGTTGACATATACAACGTCATAGTAGAGTTTCTACTAACTTTTGTGCGGTATTCCTTTGTGGTGTTATAAATGATCAGGATAGCATATCAGTGGCACACCTCCAACTTTGACCGCTTAAATTATACATTCAACCCTTGTTGAAATGATTTATGGTTCGCATATCGGTTATGCATTATGGTGATCACATAATGACACTGGCTGACCATTTTGAATTTTTACACAATACCTACTTTTCAAATTGAGATTACTAACATCTTTCATCATAACTTATGAGCCGAACTTATAAACCAATTGAAATTCCATATGAAAATATGTTAGCAACGTCAAACTTTATGTTAGATGACATGGAATTTGGTACTTTGCATAAAAGTCTACAAACCATCAATAATAAATACTAATTTAATATTTTATCATCTTGGCTGATCAAAGTACTATTATAATGAAGCCTGTGAAATCGCTTTCAATAAATACACATATATTATGAATATATCTGAGCAAATGTAAAAGAGTTGAAATAATTTGATCTGTTTTTGTTCATTAAGATATCAGTTAGTCTTTTTATATTGAGCTTGTTAACGAAAGAAGTACAATATTTAGTATCATACACCAAAACAGAATAAACAGGCTAGAAATGTTAGTTATAGAATATCAATTGGAGTTATCCAAATTGATATAGGCAAAGTATGATTTGAACTTGTAACTCAGCAGTTGAATGTTCAATTCATTGATCATTAAATTACTGATTCTACGTTAGAATAAACAATCAGTAAAATTTAATAATTATCAGTGGAATACAAGATGCTCTTTGAATTCTTACTCCACAGCTTCATATATTTGAGTCACTGTAAAATTACCTTTGTGTATCAACCTAAAAGCTTACATTTTCGAAAGATTCTATTAAAAATCACATAAGAAACCTCTGTGTAAAAAATGACTGTTTAGTTCAGAGTATTTAGATAAATACAAGAATATTGAAGACAATATCAACAAATTTTAGTGTTTGTATCGTTTTGCTTTTTCATTTCAGTCACATGGTGCAATTATTCCACAGAATAACTTGTTAACGGTTACGCCACTTGGCCAATTATTATCTGATATACCAGTTGAATTTTCAATAGGTCGTATGTTAATTATGGCATCATTATTAAGATTAATTAATCCCGTATTAAGTTTAGCTGCTGGTATGGCTATTCAGTGTCCATTATTACCGTATACAGCTTTCAGTGGAGCAGAACAAACGCGTCGAATCGAATCACTAGCTGAATATGAAAGTGATCATGGAGATGCGTTTACATTGGTTAATGTTTTTGATGAATGGATTAAGGTAGTTTATCTTAATAACGTGTAATTGATAATATTTATTATTTCTTGTACTTATTTGTTGTTGATAATAATTATATATTCTCATTTAATTTCTAACCATATGGTTGAATAATTGTTAACAGATATTCAAATAGTGTTTGTTTCTTACTGTTCCAGTCAGTCACAATGTAGAACCTGTACGTATGTGCATCGGTTCAAGTTGCTGTACCCCGTTAGCACAAAGAGATGAAATTTTCAGGTCAAATCTCACAATAATAGAGGTAGTAAAAGTATCAATCGTAATAGGAAAGATTAGGCATCGAAGATACGATTCGAGAAGAAAATAAAGATTGATGAATTAAAAACAAAAAAGGTTACGAGGAATTTAAAATCTCAGGATTTGGGTGTAGATAAAGAACGGATGCATCTGCGCCATTGCGAACGATTCTGTTATGTTACCCAGAGTCTCTAACCGTTGTGACAACCACGCAGACCCCAACCAGGTAGTCTGTACCTATTAATATGACTCAGTCTAATTATCAGTGGTTTGATTTGTTATCTCCTAGTTTTTTTTCCAATCTACTGCTATGCCAGACAACATCGCCTGTCTAAGTAGGCAGTGGTTGGACATACGTTACATGTTCCAATCACCTCAGTTGACTAAGATTTACTACCTCATCAATCTATTTGCCATTTTTACCTATTACTCTATTCCTAACCCAGGTATTGCTTACTCCGTGGTCTTAAAATACATGAACAATGCTTTGAATACACCTTGATCAAATACTAATAACCTGCGAATATCCTCTATTTCTAATAACCACTTTTCACACCTATAAAAGTAGAATGAAGCGAACGGCTTCACAGCAGACCCGCCCTCTGGTCGGTAGACAGATATCTCTCGTACGCCACAATTGACTCAGTTTTGCAAAAGCCGATCAGGTGTGTGAAAAAGTTGACACTTTCTCCAGTGTACACTTAAAATATGGTAATACAAGTAGCAACTTATTATATTTATAATTCATGAAAATAATGTGTAACGAATAGAATCCTAGGCTAACTTTGTATTTTTTTCCTACTTGTGTGATAGTTTATAATTTTACATATCCTATCTTGATGTTTGAGGTTGTCCAGTAGATAACAGTTTATGTAGGCATTGTACTTTTTAGAATTTTTCACGAAGATATTTTAAACTTGAAATGAAACCAGAGTTTTTTACAACTTGACATCAATAACTTGTCAGAACAACATCATCATTGTATTTCATTCATTTATTTGCTATTTTGTCAGTGATATTGGAACCACGTTCTTACCAACTTTTCTATGCGAACTCTTGTTGCTATCTACGGCATTCGATTCAGATACACACACTTCTCATACTTTTTTCCAAGCAGCTGCGTGTGTGGGAAGACAAAAATTACTAGGAAACTATAATTCACAACATCGAATATTTAGGTACACAGATCACTACCAAACATACATTTATCCTTCTAATCCAGACAAAGATGTGTAGGCTGAGATATTGACTAAGTGCATAATCAAATTCCTCCAATCATGTAGCGTGTGTAATTTCACAAACAACTGTTAACCAATATCAAAGTCACAATCTTCAATTCGAATGTCAAGACACTTCTACTGTACGGAGCTGAAACGTGGAGAATTAATACAAGTATCATCAAGAAGGTACAAGTATTTATAAATAGTTGTCTACACAAGATACTCAACGTCCATTGGCCGGATACAATTAGCAACAGCATACTGTGGAGGAGAACTAATCCGCTTCCAGCTGAAGAGGAATTTAGGAAAAGATGATGGAAATGGATAGGACATATATTATTCAGACCATCAAACTGCATCGCGAAGCAAGCCCCAACTTGGAATCATGAATGAAAACAGAAAAGTGGAAGGCTGAAGAACACACTACGTCGTGAATTGGAAGCAGATATGAAAAGAATGAGTAGCAACTGAAAAGGATTGCCCAGAACAGAGTTGAATGGAGAGTGCTAGTGGGAGGCCTATGCTCCTCCATGAAGAATAGCAGGCGTAAGTAATTACTTCCGTTACGCTTCATGGAGAATAGGCCACCAACCAGGATTCTCCAACCAACTCTGTCCTGGGCAATCCTTTACAGTTGTTCCTGACCGCTATTCATTCTTCTGATGTCTGCCTCCAACTCCCAACCCAGTGTATTTCTTAGTCTTCCTCCTTTCTTCTCCAAATGATTCCAAGTTATGGCTTGCCTCATGATGTAGTTTGATAATCTCTGCAATCTATGTTCTATCCATCTCCAGCGTCTATTTATAATTTCCTCTTTAGATGGAAGCTGATTTGTTCTCAGCCATAGTAGGTTGTTGCTGAGAGTATCCGACCAACGGAGATTTAATATCTTGCGTAAACAACTATTTATATATACCCGTACATTTTTTGATGCTAATTGAAGTAGTTCTTGAAGTTTGAACTTCGTGCAATAGAACTGCCTTGAAGTTCGTATTGAAGATTTTCAATTTGATGTTGGCAGACAGTTGTCTTGAGTTCCATATGTTCTTCAATTGTAGGAATGCAGCCCTTGCTTTGCCAACCCTCGGCTTTACATCTGCATCAGCTCTTTCTTGTTTATCGATGGTGTCTTTTGATGAACTTGATACCTGAGAACTTTATTTTTCAAGTGTTCATTTGATTTTGAAGTGCTCGGAATTTCTAATTTTTACTAGGAGTAACATAAGAGGTCATTGACTAAGTAAATATTACTATACAGGTACACCTTTCATATATTATTTCAGATGCTAAAATACTAAACACTTTTCAATACAAATACTAATCATCATTAATAAGATAGCTATCAGTTTATAGAGATGTGAATCATCCAATTTATTGAATGTGTATTAAATGATCGAAGTTAATATAAAAATTATATTGAATCAATAGGGTGTGATTATTTGCCACTCACCAAACGACTGATGATGGATCAGAGATGGAAATGAAGTTCACAAAAGTATTAACGCTTTTGTAGATCGCGTAAAATTTGTTGTTCATAGGTTTAACATGAAAAATTCCCCGTAATCTGTCTTTCGTGTTTCTACCCAATGTTCTCATATTAAAGATTATTGTCTTAAACGACAAAAAGCATGACGGTCTAATTTATTCACTCCTAAAGAAGATAGTAAAAATACTCAAAATAACCTTGCTGTATTTCTTCCATAATTCATTTTTCAGTGTGAAATAACGTTTTTGATTACAATTGTTTTTGATGTAACCATTAGATGAAATCGGAGGCGACTGGTATTATTAAACAAGACCATGAATTAGACGAATTTGATGATAATAATAATAATAATGACAAGGGATGTAAAAACATTCAACGATGGTGTCGTCGTATTGGAGCACAACAGCAACGTCTCCATGAAATGGTCCGATTACGTAGTCAGTTCGCACAGTTGTTAAAAGACAGTGGTCTTCTTGATAGTAAATCCACAGAATTTGATGAAAACCCATCCAAAACACAACACTTTAAAAATTTAAATTATGCAAGACGTAGTGCACGAATGAAATCTAAACGACGCCGACTTCTCACTTTACAAGATAATGTAAGTTCTGCTATTTCTTTGCGTCATTGCATAAGTTCGGTGCCAAAGGAATTTGACTCTCAATCACTAGGACGGATATCCGACCCACACTCTATTTATTTCAGATATTATCACTAACTTTCGTACATAAAATGTTTCTGAAAGTCAGGTTTCTGAACATGTATTAAGTCACATAAATGAAGCACTGGTCTAATTATTAGACATTAAACCCTTATATTTTATGCAAAGATGGATAGTGGCTAGCAGTGGAATCCAGAACGCGCTTTTCGTCTTATTTGGGACTCATCAGTTGAGTGTACCTGCATCCCAGAACCCAGTACCGTTCGCTCTAAAGGCCGTCGCATTATCCACTTAGCCGCTGAGTCCTGATAGCCACCTTCCTATTCAATGGGGTGAGGTTTAAATTCACTTGGTGGGATACAAGTACATCCAGCTGACGAGTCCCAAATAGGACGAAACGAGCGTCCTGGATTCCACTGCTAGCCATTATCTATATTTGCTTAAAAAGCTTGTGACTTTAGGCTGTGTAAAGGTGATCCCCACAAGATGCACATGTGCCAACAAGAGACTGGTCAATTACAGTCCTAAATAACAATTGGCAACACTAAGTGAATATATATTTTATGTTTCATATTCTAACTCACTCCGCATACTTCACTTTGGCAGCTAGTTGTTATCGCTAGCTATCGTATAAGAAAATATATGTGTACTTTGACACATAAGAAAGAAGCCATTTTCTAACCGGTTTTATGCTGTAATTTGTAGGTGAATTTATTTGTCTTTTGTACTAAAGGCGACGACCTATTAGTTAAGACATCTGGCTTTCAATCAGTAGGTCACATGTTTGAGTCCCGCTTCATGCACTTTCGCTTAGGCATCCGGGTAGTATCACTAGCCATCAAACAAATTGTGGCTCAAAGTCTAGTGCACTGTTCTTTACTTGTGAATTAAGTTAAATAAGAATCACTGTCCAATGGTTTGTAACTAATTCTTAATCATATTTCTGTACCAAATATGTATGTTATTCAGTAGAAATAAATGAATAGATTATGATGATTGCTAGTTTCAAATAGAATTCGATATTATCAAAGTTTCTTGTAAAAATTGTTTTAACACGAGTTAATCTTTAAGAAACCCCGTTATGCATGTTCAGGTGTATGAATTAACACATCTGTTCATGGTATTTGCGGAATCAACCAAAGTACCGAATACCGAATAAGTTTAACTTATCAAATGATTATTAACAGATTAGCTGAAAGTTTCAATTTTAAAAAGACAGTTCTGGTAAAGTTATATCATCTAAGCTGAATGGTTTGATTGCAAAGATTTCGTTATTATTCAAAAACCTCGTCAAACCAATCCGTTCTGGCAGCTTTGCTTGTGATTGGATTCCCTCGTTATCTTCATTTCATCCTCTTCTCAGTGACTTTTTTACTAGGTTGCTCTCTGAAATGGCGATTGGTTAATCCTTCCTGCATAGTTTGATAGATGTATGTCGATACCACTTATTCTTTGCAAATTGGTATGAGCGATATCCCTCTAGGAATTCTGTGACATTTCTGCAGTTAAATTCGTGTTCACAGTTGTCTTAGTATGTTGATACAAGTAACTTCACAAAATAGAATTAAATCATTGTGTTGGGTTGCAAGTAACGGACGGATGCAGGACTTATAAAATGATTTTTAAAAATTCCAACTTTTGTCTTGATTAGTCACGTATAACGTTGTCCTGAATGATAATCAAAGCTTCTCAGTTAAACTATTTAAGCTGATGAACATAGAACAACCAAATGCTTATACTGTGAGAGTATAGTATAGTAAAGAGATTAAAGCAACCACGATGAACTTCGAGCCATTTTCTGGCAAATCAGAAAATAGCTTTTATAAGTCGATAGTTTATGGAAAAAAACAATAATATCACGAAGTGTATAGATTTTATAGATTTTACAGATTTTATACAATTAACAAGTTCATTCTTGTTTTCTACATGTTCTTTTGGATGTAAATCGAAAAAAACAATGATATATAAACTCGTCTCAATGGATATAGATTGTCCATATTCTCCAACCCTTAAAAGGATCCAAACAGATTTTTAAGAGTCTCTAAATTTTTTGTAGTTAAGGTTAAGACCAGGGGTTTAAGTTTATGGTTTGCATCACAAATTGACACCAGTTATAATTTAACAATGGTGGGTAACTGTATAGATCGACATATTTCACTCAAAAATATGAGAAACTCTTTAAAATTCAGTATTATCACGTCTAGGTTTGTTCCATAATTAAGAATTTTGAGGTTAGGATTTAAGGGTTGCTTTGATTTACCTTTTATATATATAATCTAAAGAGAAAAAATGATGCATTTGATCTGTTTAAAGAAAATATCATTTTTACCATATTGTTGCACAGAATAATTTTCCGCTATTATTTTAAATGTTTTGAGAAGTATTTAAAAGTATATCTACTGCTCGTTATACATGATATTTTAATCTCGCATAAAAACCTAAAAGTCGCATTCCCTATTCTGGTTAGCTCGTTCATAAAGTATTCTTTTACCAGCATTCCCTTAGGCTAGAAGTCTTCATCATTTCAAATGTATAGCTTTTGTTTGCTTTAACTAGTTCGATTGCATTTCATATCGAATACTGTACAATTTTGTAGTATGTATAGTTATTTCCTTTCAGTTCTCATTGTTCATAATAAAGTGTTGCCAAATAAAACACACCTTAACAAAACATAACTATGTGAACAAAGAATGTTCTTTTCAGTAAATTGTCTTCAGGTTCTGCAATCCTGTATCCAAATTAATAATCCAAAAGTGGTCAGGCTTAAGGCAAGTTTCACAGTCATATTAGGGTTAGTCCGAATCATTCTTCGTCTATATATATGATCAGAATGCAGTATGTCGTTTATCAATGGTCTATAGGATCTTGCTTACTGTTTGACAATATCCAAACGGTTAATTTTATGAAGTTGTTAACACCTTTACACTGTGACAGATATCATATGAAGGAGCGTATGACAGTACTGATACGGGTTTGAATCCAATTTGACTAATAGATGCCGGATGAACAATAACAGTATAATAAGTTTCTGACGATATTCGACAACTCACATATAAGAATAATAAGGATCTTTAAAAATGAGTATTTAATTTCTTGAGAAAAAGGCGGTTATAGTAATAACGGTGTTTATTCTATTCCGTTTATATGACCTTAGAATAGAAATACTAAAATAGACCAGTGGAAAGGACAGTTAATGCGAAGTAATCAATTGGAGAAAATAATGATCATAACACAATTTAGCGCGTAATTGTCGTGATATTAATAACCTATTTTTCGAGGTAATCTCAACAATGACAGTGTTATTTTTCATAGACCATTAACGTGAAATCAATGGGTCAGATTTTAACTGCATCCTCTAATCCATAGTCTAGCTATCAAATATTATGATAATCTTTAGTACATAATACACTGTAACTCAGCTTCACTTAAAGTATTTCAACATGATGGTTACTGCATTGAATTATTATCATTTTCTATTTTCCAATAATTTTCATTACATTGCCTCTTTTTGCTTTAATTTTACAGTTGAGTGATAACTCGGAATCTGAAAAAGAAGATCATCATATGGAAAGTGATTCATCTAAATTACGTAAATGGTTAAATGCATCGAGCCGTTGTTCATCAGTCAATTCATCAAATGTACCTGTACAAGATTTAGAACTAGTATTATGTTACAATCTATCATCTTTAGCGCAATCAGCTAATATTCAACAAAACATGACACAAGCTGATCTTCAACTATTAAAAGTTGTATTAGCTGGTGGTATGTATCCTCAGTTAGCTATTGGTGATCCAGCCAACGCTTATCGTGTTGCTAATCGTGGTGGTACAGCTGGAGCTGGTGCTGAAATGGTATTTCATACTAAGGTGAATGTTCGTTTTTAGTTCATGAATATCATCTGAAGAATACCACTTGGTTGACATTGTAGTATATATATATATATATATATATATCCCTTCAAGATAATTAATCGAAGTAACGAGAAATGTTTGACGAAATAGCAGAAATGTCAATTTATAAAAGTACACTCAAACATATTTGATTCTTGAACGCTGGTCAAGAAGTCGACTGAGTTTTCCCTTGCATGTTAAAGATTATTCAAGAGGATTTAAGTTGTTAGTGTTTTAGACGTTTTAAGTCTTTTCAAGCAGCAATTATATAGGATTATATTAAGACTAAGCTTACTGGTGGGCGGCCTATGTTCCTCCGCGAGGGGTATCAGGAGTAATTGAGTAAATACACTAACTGATTGTCGAGATAAATATTGATTGCGACAAAAATACAAAATAATGTAAATGAATTTTGTTAGGAGAAAGCAGAAGAGAAATTTTTTATCGATAATAGTTAGTTAACTACAAATCAGTTACTCAGTTACTTACTTACTTACTTACACACACACACACACACCTGTTACTCCTAATGGATCATAGGCCGATGACCAGCATTCCCCAACCCACTCTGTCCTGGGCCTTACTTTCTAGTTCTGTCGAATCGTTGTTCATTTTTCTCATGTCTGTCTTCCAAGTCTCTGACATTGTACGAGCATTCTATGTACTTAAGTTAATCGTTGCTGTGGTTGTCAGAAGGGACATCAGCCCCATAACTCTTCTGAATGAAGACCTTCTAACTTCCAGGGCACAGTTTAAATGGTTTGAATTATTTTCTAGTTAGTTTTCTACGGGGTGGGGTCGCTAACCCCATGCCCAGCCCTTCTCCTTTATCCGGGCTTGTTACGGGCAGTAGCCCCAGAGGGGCTCCACGCGGAGTCATGTGTTCATTGGTATTCATAAATCATGGTAAATTATGGTCTAATACTTTCCGGTTATAATAATATGAATCAGAATAATATGATTTCGTTTTGATCATCGTGTGGCCTTGTATTTAATAGGATGCAAACCTCTGTGGTTCATCGATTATGTGGTGTAAAAACAAAATCTCGACATAGGTTTAAAAGGTCATTTTTATGTGATTTAAAAAATACATCCCTTCTACCTATCAAAAGCCTGGTGTATCGTGCAACAGTATGATCTATTTAACTTCATAGCTGTGAAACGAACTTTTTACGGTAGAAGACATGTAGTAAGTAACAATCTTTTTTATCATAGATATCATCGAAATATCGTTCGTATTTGTTAGGACCACCTACTGACTGATAGTGGAATTAGGAGCAAAATGGCTGTTGATCTTTACTTTATCAATAGCCCCGTAACTGCGTCCTGAAAGTGATTGGAAGCCTTGGATAATAGAGATTGAGATAAATCATTGTGGCTAGGATACGCCTATTCTTTATTTTCTCATAGATTCTCAGTTTCAATAAGATTCGATACTTTTTATCACCTGAATTCATGCTTTCATTTAGAACTGTACTCTTTATGTCTAATCCTTCCAGGTATTATTTTCATACCTTTCGAACTTGTTATTTTAATTTAATCTCGCTATGCTTATTTGGTGTATCTACCTAGACCGATCCATATCTATGTCTCGTGTCTTACGTTGTTTATGACTGATTAACTCAATTGATTACGCCATGCTCTTACTAAACTAAAGAAAAACATTAGTTAATAAACATTTTTCTGTTACTAACACTTGGATGTGTTACTGTTTTTAAGGAACTAATATATCTACCTGATATTACTCATGTTTATGAGTTAAAAGTTAAACATGTTGAAAATTTCTCCACTATCTGATATGTTAATTTATTGATTCTTTTTCATACAATGATATATTTTGTTTTGTGGTCTCGTAATTTTAAAGTCTTTGTGTTATTTGAGCTGGGTGAAGCTTGTATTATCTTTATAGACAATATTATCAATCTATACTTTAATAAGAAGTGAGCTATTATAATTTGTCCAGGTCAACAGAACAAACTTCTAGTCATTTGTGGTTAAGTTCTAATCACTTACCTCTTGTTGAAACGTATGTCGATTATGTCATCCAGAAAGACATTGAGAGCTCCACAATTAAACCATCCAGCTCAAAGAACACAACACCTTCAAAATGATCATTCTATGCTACAAATATTCCTCGTCGATAATTTAACTATTTTTTCTATTCTATTTTAGAATAAAGGTTTTGTTACACTTCATCCAAATGATGTATTTGTTAGAAAACCAGATGTTTTATTTCCTGAGCGTACTTCAAAAAAACGGAATAATAATCGTCCGAACCTGTCAAAGATACAAAATTCACAAACATCATTACCAAATAAAAATTTGAAACAAAAAAGAGATGATGATTTCGATGATGAACAAACAGAAGAAGAAAGTATTCTTGATGTTTTACCGTCTGGCTTTGCATACGATCATCAATTACTTATGTATCTGTAAGTTGATAGTTGTTTTTAATGATAAAATTTTAAAATATAATGACTATCACTTGCATTAATATTGTCATCAGGGATTTTTTAAACAACTCACAACAACCTCAATAATAGTGATCAGTTATTCTATTAACCTCTTTTATTATTTATACATAGTTTGTTTTTTCTGAGTAAATCTTGTCTTGAATTAAGTTCTATTGTAACGAGTAGCAAGTGACAGTTTTTCTGCAGTCATACCACAAATAGTCATATCATTAGCAGTATCAGTATTTTGCACTAGTCATTACAATAAGTTAATTTGTAAACAGGTCAGTCATAAGCAACATGAAAGTTTACATAACAGATTGCCTTTAACTGGAAAACCATTGAAACTCGAGAAGTACTAGGCAGGTGTTTTGTCCTAGTTAGGAATTACTCAACGATATGAATCCGGGATCTTACAATGAACCCACCCTAAAGCCTTCAGGGCTCGTGGTAAGCACTATATCTTTGGGTAACTGAGCTGGTATCTAAGTGGTTCACGTTTCCAACTTTAGTCGATCCACAATATCACATGGTCATTATCCCTTATCAAAATAAATCTGTTTCATCTTATTTTATGACTTACACTCTCCAATTATTGGTTACATTGATAAAGGAGCTTCGATTTATTTTGTTTGGTAATTTGTGCGAGAATTTTATATACTATTTAGGAATTCTACAATATTTCTCTTATATTCATGTTTTTGAAAGTACTTATTCCTCGTTCACTGTTTTACAAAGATACGCTTGCTAAAATATTTTCATTCACCTTTATACTCGACTTCCTTTCCGTTATTATTTCTTCTACTTTGGTTCTAATAAATACATTCTTGTGAATGGGATATCTGAACGATTATAGCTTATAAGCAACACTTATGATACCTTTGTTTTTCGCGTAACAATAATTAGCATTCCATGTATAGAAAGTTAATTTTAGGTTGGCTTTTTCGTTGTTATTATCGTCCCAAATACTGACTGCTGGGATTCGTAGATACGGCACTGTGAACTTGATTAGAACCTTGAAGGCCACCTTGAAATATTTCAAGTCATATGAAATCTGGCGAACTATACTCACTGATAATAATCGACCTACTGAATTACATTTAGTAATATAATTGTAGTTTGCTAATTTTCAGTTCTGTAGATCCGTGATATCAATTAAACTGAGTATTCAACACTTTTGAACATATTAACCTCTCGATAAGTAAAAATCTGCTCAGGGATACGCGATCCTTTATTAGATTTTAAACTTTTTAAAATTTGTTTTCATATCGTCTGTAGTCAAAACTTGAACATTCGAATAAAAGTCATTCATGTGTACTCATCTTTTATATGACGTTAATTCTAAATGTACGTCGCATCATTAATTGTCTTTATAAATAGATATATGTTATTTAGCTGATGTATTCTATGTATAATAATAGTTTGCCAAATCTTATATATCGAAACCGAAGGTTATTTATGTCTAGACTCAAACAGTTAGCTTTCATCACTGAATATTATGTTTAAATACTCCTCCATGTATATTAGGTAATTTTTAAATGAGGCTCGTAAATTTCAGTTTGGCGATTGTTTATCTAGAATGGAAATGTATCTGATAACTGAAGTTCTTTAAGCTTTTAGAAATAAGAATTGTGGGTAAATTTCGTAATTATTACGATATTTACACATAAGTGAGTAAGTAGTCTTACTGGTGTTTTCATTCATATTCTTACTATGAATAATATTACACTAAAATGATAGTTTCACTTTTCACACAATTTCTTTGTTAGCTTTTTTTGTGTGTGATAATAACCTCTTTTTATTTCATTACCTGAGTTCAACATAGTTGATGTTTACGTGTACTCTACATACAATGTATATAAAAATTATCTATGTATCATGTTTGTTTTGTTGTATTTGTTATAAATTCTATGTTTGTTTATTGATGAAAGTGTACAGTTTTCAAAGGGGAATTTACCAGGTTTTTGAGCGTTTATATAATATTTTCAGTATGAATTCCTAGAATCTACAATTGTTAGCATATTTTATCAGACCAAAATTCTACAAATTTATGTTTCATATAGATTATATCATAAAGTATCATTAAAAAGTTAAAAACTAAGGAATTTAGAATGATCAGAATGAGACATTATAGAGATTGTAGTAATTTTAATAGTTAAATTCATAAGTCAATCTAAACTAGACCACCAGGTTTATGTTTTCAATGGTGGTCTAGCTTAGGTTATTTAATTGAAGTAGATTTTTATATTTTGAAGCGCTTTAGCCATTATATATCAAACCTATAGAATGATGTGAATTCTATCTTTACTAAGCTGAATAAATTGAAACAGAATTTTCATAGTAAACTAATGTAAAATCATTTGCTCGCTTTAAATCAGTAAAAATGACTAAACATTATTGATAGTGTTCTATTTACAATTTATTTTCATGAAAGTTATATAAGTAGTTTGTAAATGCCAAAAATTTTGTTTCCTATAATTCTTTTTTTTGAAGATTTTTAATACTCTATAACTTAGCTAAACAGAACTAAGCAAAACAGACATATATCCTTCGGTTTACTATACTTTTTGAATCTACCATTGTTTGTTAAACATGACTATTAGATTATTGGGTTGTAAAAATTAATTACGGACCGTTTCATGAATTGAATAAAACAATCTATGATTGTTGTAACTAACATACATACGTACATACAGTATTTATCAAATTAGTATAAAGAATTGTTTGTTGAACCTTCTACATGTTTTACAATCGATCGGTCGATTGATCGATTGTTGTTATTTCGAAACTTTTAGTCTATAAAAATCGGAGATGTTATTAGGGCGGAGTCAACAAATGAACGTCGAGTCTCTGCCTATCTCTCTCTTATTTTCTTTACAGAATAATTCAATGTCCTGACAGGTTTTCATTCAACAACAACTAAAAAAGACACATATGTATTGGTCTGTCTATCCACTAGTACTTTATTATTGATAGTTCATGTGTCTTTATAAATTTTATGTACACATAAACCTTTGTGTGTGTATGTATGTGTGCTATCAAAAAAAAAACAAGAGAGAAAGTCTGTGGTTGAATTTTGTTGACCTGCTAATATTAAAATTGTATGTCATCGATTTCTGTAGAAAAAAAAAATCAATTCTAATCAGGCCGTTTAAAGCCCGGTCCAATGAACATGTAGGTTAGTATCAATGACATGAATTCTAGCCAAAAATTACTTTAGTAATAATAATAATAATAATAATAATAATAATAATAATAATACAGTTAGTGATCACCATATTCTTGCATGGTTCTAGATTCTCATATTTGTTACTCAAGTCTTTTGGTTTTATGTGATATTGAGTTGATTATTCATGATGCTCAACTATGTATTAAAGTGCTTGACTTCGAGATGTACTGAATACATAATTCTTTACAATATGTGAATATTCTTCGTTTATAAGAAATTAGGTGATTTCCACTAAACTCATCATATAACTATCATCATCAATGGAACACAATATGAATAAATAGAATATCCCAATAGTTAAATGCTAAAAATAAATATTTCTTCAAACTAGTAGGGATTTATACAAAGATTACAATTTTCTCTCTCGCGTTTTATTGATAAGGTTATCACGGAGTAATTTTTAAAAAAAAAGTAAATATAATTGAAAAAAATGTTAAGTATATCATCCGTTAAACTAAAGAAGAAGAAGAAGAAGAAAACAAACATAATCACCTATCTTAATCAATTAGATAAAATAGATTTATGCAAATAGGTGAGAAAAGGTTATATTCAGTTTAGTTCATCTCGTTTAAAATATTATTAAAATATGCTAACTTTGTCATCTCATAGAAAATGTCTATTTAACTATACATTCATGTTATCTTTATGTTTCTATATAAACAGAAATAATCATAAGTCTGCACACACACAAAAAAAATGTATATAAAATTCTTATTCTTATCAATTTAATGTATTGTAATTAATGATGAGATGATAATAGAATTCTTAGAAATTGGCATGCATTATGTATCCACACATAGACAATAACAAACTGACCAAACTAATTATAGTTACACATAAATGACAAAACACGACTAATTTTCATAATATTTCAATGTCTTAAATAATAATTCATGTGATAGAATTATACTTTATTCTTCCAATTCTGATATGTTTCCGAATATAGATGAATAGCTGGGGATGAACTTCACTTTGTCAAGTTATCCAATTGTATCGTAATCTGTGACTACTATTATGTTTGCGTTTATATATTCACTCAATAGTAAACATTTTGGAATAATTTCTATTATAGATTTATTTGAAGGTATGGCTTTTGCCATGTTGTAATTTTTCTTCCATCCTGACTGACTACGCTACAATTGACACGTCCGTAACATGTTCGAGTGATATTTTCGTCCTAGTAAACTACATTTTTTATGTAAGCTAGCAAAAACAACAGATAACGAAATACGCCTTCCATCATCGATTACGATAGTGTAAATAAGAAGCGACGCTTGATTTTGGTTACTTGTCAGGTGCAAGGTAAAAATTGCAAATGGGAGTGCAGTTTAACCTCACCCAGATAACTAAAGTATATAAAGTATACAAAACTATTTTAATTGTTGAAATCATGAGTTAATTTAAGCTAGACCAACATGGAAAACCTACAACCACTGGACGGCCGTTTCGTCCTATTGTAGGACTCCTCAGCAGTGCACATCTGTGACCATTGGAGTTCAACCGGGTCACTTGTGAGGTAGTAACTCACTGATGACAATGGTGGATGTCGCTTAATTTCGTGGATTAGTTTAAGTTAGACACTAACACCGATAGATGCCGGCTCAGTGGTCTAGTCAGTCAGTCAGTCAGCTACAATGTAGGACCAGGCACATGTGTGCATCGGTCCAGGTTGCCATACCGCATCAGCACAACGAGATGAACACCGGATTCATAGCAGTGGTTAGGTCAAAGATGGTAATATATAAGAGAAAGATTGCATATAGAGATATAGTACAAGAAGAAATAATTGGTTCGTAGAAAGAAAGATATGAAGTGATTTTAATCTCTTAGTTTAAGGGAAGACAGGGAGTGTATACACCGACGCCATTGTGATCGATTCTGAGCCATGTCACCAAGAGTCTCCAACCATTGGTTACGAAAGTCACGCGGACACCAACCAAGTAGTCTGCTCGCGCGCGAGATCAGTAGATCCTGGGTTCGAATTCTGCGAGGCGGGATCGTGGATGCGCACTGCTGAGGGGTCCCGCAATAGGACGAAACGGTTGTCCAATGCTTCCAGGTTTTCCATAGTGGTCTAGCTTCAATTGACTAATGATCTCAACAATTGAAATTACTAACATCACCACAAGACCCCTTCCGATATTATTTATTTATTTTAACACATAGATATTGGTACAAGGAGGCACCAAATACATATGCGCCACACAGATCTCACTTGATATGTGTGAGGGCTGTGATACTGCCCGGGTGCCCAAACTATTTTAATTGATATTCACTCTATTTCCCAAAGTTTTTTAATAGTTTTTTTAAAAAGTACAATCTAGATTATCTAAATAGATTATTGATTCTCGTTTTGACGATTAACTACTCTGAAATCATTGTCAAAGCTATATTTCTTTCTTAATGTACAAGTTGAACGATGTTATTGGTTAATGAAACTTTGTGAAGGAATATCGGTTTATGTAATCATTTTTAAGCTGTACAGTTTATGTATGAAGTAATAATATTGTCTGGTTGTCTAATCTACAATGGCCAACGTAGAATTCAAACATGTTGTGTACTGATTGGAAATTTTACCACTTTAAACATTCACTTGTTTTTTAAATGCATGAATAGATCAAACAATAAATTGAAAGATATATTATATTGTGGGCTTATTAAATTACATAAATTCAATAGTAACAAGGAAAAAATTGATTTAAACTTTACTCCATTGCACAAGCTACTAGCTATCGAGACTCAGTATTCAAGTGAATAACGCGATGGTGTTTGAAGCGAATGACACTGCGTTCGGGTCTCGGGGTGAATATCAACTCGGATGTAGTTACATCCAGCCGATGAGTCCCGAATAGGACGAAACGCGCATCCTGTATTTCGCTGCTACCGAACATCCACGTTTGTTTATAAAGCTTGTAACTAGGCAATACAGAGACAATCCGCACAGGATGCACATTTGCCAATAAGAGACTGATCAACTGCAGTCCTAAACATCAATGGGAAGATTCGAACTAATAATACTAAATGAAAGTAACAAGGGCAGTTCAGATGATTTTTTATAATATTAAATTTAAACCATGTTCACTGCATTGAAACACGAACTCTATATCGTTTTGTTTTATAATATATGAGTGACGATTAAAAATGTGAAACATTTTTAAAAGCAAATGCTACTATTTCAACATATTCCAGTGGTTTCAATAAACCCTCATCACATTTTCTTTAATTAAGTTTTATCCAATTAACATCAACATATCTAATAAAATGTGTAAATTAATAAAAGCAGGTATATAATTTCATATCTGATGACCAAGTTATTTACATTCATTGCTATGTAAGATCGATTTACGTCATTTCTTCAACAGGAATTATTTTTCGAAATGTCGTGAATCATTTCGTCTTAAATCTTTTTTTCATCAAACTTGGAAACCTTTTCTTGAATACATGTTTTCAATTACATGATTTATATAATATCTTCGAAAATAAGAATCATTTTTCTACGTGCATATTTGTTGTAGATACAGTTGTCAATAGTCTTACTTTATGTGTACTGATCCCTTGGTAAATTTAAGAAAAAAAACAAGATGTGTTAAGTAAAATGAATTCTTTGTATTTTAAGTCTTCTAATCAGCTGAAAACGGCCTAAATTTACATTAGTGATATTATTGTGAAATGTTTAACATTACCATAATCAATCAACTTTAATTCTACTTCAATTCCGTCGACCGAAATAGGTACAATTGCTATAAATCATTAAGTAGCTAACTATTAAACATGTCCTCTTATATTTGTATGTAGTTGATGCTATTCACAAGTATGTTTGTAAGTAGTATGTAGCGGAACGCGACATTGAAGTTTTAACAATTGTCAGACAGAATGAAGAGTTTCAATGCATCAAAATTACAGCGTTGGCAGAACACTTGGAGACCAAACGAGAAGATGGTTCAGACGGCAAAACACACCGAAAGATGCAAACTGGCGATTGAAGACTACGCATATGTATCATGTAACTTCCCGCAATAAATATACATTCCTCTTGCTTATTTTCGTGTTTCATATGTGAACTACCGTGTTTGATTGCTGTTTAGCTTAATCGATCTTTGATCACATATTTGTTACAATCATATTGGTGCATACATTATACATGATTATATCAGATCGTATGTAATTCACGTTTCAGGGCGTTTGACTGTCTAGTTGATCGAAATAAGACTATTCAAGGTTTCCTGAAAAAAATTATTTGATCTTTGAACCTATTAAATTTGCTACGTTGAAATGACCAATTGATTTTCCATTTATTGAGTGATAACTTTCTTTCGATTATTATGACTATTTTTTAGGGATTTAATGGAAACAACTAAACCTTTTCTGGTAAATACAATACGGGTTCCAGCATTACCGACTTTGTTATTATACTGTCGGGAAGTGGATACAAATGCTGACATTTCAAGGTTTGTAACGAGTGTAAACATTTTCAAATCTTATTGTCATTATTAGTAACACTAAAATGATGGAGATTTGCACTTTGACTGTATACTTTTGGTGTTGTTAAATTATCTAAGCTAGACGATTCGATTATGAAAATTTAATTTTTAGTCTCAACAACATCTACTTTACGTACTTATCCTACAAGTGTTAAGTTAGTTTATTCTGGTGGCGTTGTTTGTAGTTGGTTGGTCTCATTGTTCCTTGTATTCAGTTTGACTGTCTTGTTCGGTCGACTTCTGACCATACGATTGGTTGGCCTTTTTCATATGGGTATTGATATTATTAATAATTCCTAATGATTGTAAGCAGTTATATATATGTTATTACTCTTGCAATCTGCTACTCAGACTAGTGGTCATATTGCAACTCAATAGGTCAAATTCGAATGCAGCTGGGGGACTAGATAAACGTGTCGTTGGTACTACATAGTGATTGATCAGTATGAATGCTTAAGTCCTTCAGACCAATGGCAGCTCGAATAGTTTAGTGATAGTATTCCTGTCTGCGATACTGTGTGACAGGTTTTTCCTGAATCCCACAGGTATCATCATTTCTGTCGAAATCGCGTATACTACTAATTATCTCCTGATATAGTGAGTGAATCAGAAGTAGCCTAATGAGAAGGTCAGTCGATGACAATGAGAAGTGACCCGAAGGACAAGTGCATTTCATTGGCTAAGAAGTGGATCAGTTTCTTAAGGATTGAAGTGGTATATACATAAATGAGTATTTGTGCATTTTATTCGGTAGCCCAATACGCTTTCTCACTTATGCAGTCAGTTGTATCAGTATCACATTTTTGATACTGCCCGCCACAACACCTCCAACCACCTAACATCAGTTCATTGATTTATCTGGAGTGTATGGAGGTGATATATCCCGTCTGAAATACGATTCAAAGTAATTTATTTTCTTACTGGGCATCAATATATAGACCTACAAGAATGTTTTAAACAATGTGAATGAAGATGTATTTTATTTATTTATTCAAACACAAGCAGTGGTACAAAGGGACACCGAATACATATGCGTCACACAAGTCACTTGATTTATGTGTGGTCTATGATACTGCCCGGGTGCCCAAACCGAAGCACGTGGTTTTCTTAAGGGGCCACATCCTGAGCCTTTGACCTAAAGGTCTGGTCCAAAAGGCAGTGGAGCAATGTGAGGAGATGCAGTCCCATGGCAGCCAGTGACCAACAATAGGTTCATATGCCATTTGTTCGTTCAGGATACTGTAGCTTATGTGCATCATTTGTTTGGAATCATGGTTTTCCAAGTCCCTTAGGTGGACTGTCCGTGTTCACCAACCCAGTTAAAGCGCCTGACAGTCTCTTTTTTCCTCTCAATTTCGTAAACAACACCTCCGCTGTGAGAAGTCAGTGAGTAGGACTTCTTAGACAGTGGCTGTATACGCGTGTCCATTTCCCGAGAGAGCATTTCGAGAAGGAGAGCTGATTCTTCTTAACTTCGACCATACCAGGGCATTTGGTATCGAATGAAGATGAGATAAGTTTGTTGCACAAATTGAAAGTATTTTGAAGGGAACAGAAATGACTAATCCCAAGTTTTATAAAATAATATTTTTATGACTTTAGTTTATGTATTCATTGGAGAGACTGAATGCATTCCAAATCTATGTCTTAATATCGCAAACTAACTGTTTCAACTGCACTTATTGGTTGAAAATTGTATTAAACATTTACTTATAGTTATATACTGGATTACAATCAGTTACAGTTCAAAAGAGGCTGCTTGTAATTTACGCTAATACTGTCCACTCGTGTATTTCTCTATAGTTGATATCACCGTAAGCTTGAAAACTTGGCTCACGTTTAACTTCTATTTCTAAATCATTATTGACCTATCGGCTGTGAACTCTATGGTTTTCGAGTTAGTGAACTTAGATATGTGACTTAGTGGTCGTCGAATCACGTTCTAAATTTTAAGTATTGTCTTGTGTAATATGAAAGTAATTCAACCTTAGAAACTTAAAATCTGTTCATAAACCTTCAAAAATCTATAAAATGAAAAACTATCACATACATTGAAGTTTCATAGCTTTTTCGGATACAGATTTTTGGATTTAATTGTCTGTGTACTCATTAACCAATAAAGGGGCATAACACTTTCCGTTTCTCTCAATGTCGGTGGTGCTGTAATGTAGTTTTACCTAAGTTCATAGATGGGGAAGCTATAAACTGTAGAAACAACCAACTAGAATTTAATTTCAACTACCCAAAAGGAAAATAATTTTTGATCACAACTTATCTAGTAACGAAAATTATAGGCGGTCAGATTATTTCTCTCTAATTAATCACTCATAGTGTATACTACAAATTGTTTACGTTATGAGTTAAATAACATGTGTATGGAAGTGTATATATTCAGGACAAAGGTGTTTTCATACTAGTATAATACATACTAATGCAATACTATTTGATCGGTAAGGAATTGTAATAAAAGTATTTTTGTCATTTTCATACGTACACATGAGAACGTTTAATTCAGTAACATTTACCCCAGTTACTATCCCTTATTTATGTACCAATCAAATAATATTAACGATAAATGAGATATCACTTCATGTAACTAATGTTTTTGGGTGATTGTTTGTTTATTATCCAGTCTTAAAGAAAAACAAAAAATAATCATGTGAACAAACGTTGTTTATCAATCATATCCCTCTCTCTCTCTAGTCATATGAGCTTTCTTTACTGTTTACAATAATGATGAACGTGTAATCACAATTATAAACTTCAATAATAATAAAGTAGATTTACACAGTGATAACGAAATCTATCAGAGTAATAGTAACAATAAAATTCATTTAATACAGCTAATAACGCATACACAGCCAGAAAAGCAGTCAATTTAGTCAATCATATTTACATTAAATATGCATAGAACTGCAAGACGAGTTAAATATAAGTCATTTCAATAAGTCCGAAAATCACTATTTATGAACGTAAGACAATTAAATATTTGTGTAATATCCTGTAAATTTCAGAAGTGAACCATAGTTTATCATTAGAAAAGAAGAAGAATGTATTCGTAAAATCTCAGCGAATGAATTTGAAGTAAACCCAATGTTTCACCTAGCACTCTGTTCCAAGCTTTCTCAAGGAAATATAATCAAATGTCAAAATTATCGAATATAAATAAGTATATGGATTTTCGGTTAAATGTATTCTAAATAGGTCATCTAAATACATTCCTCTTCCTTAATGTCTCACATCAACTCGGCGCCCAAACACTGAAATTATGCTATCAGATTTAGACGAAAGTTTTCACATGCTCATTTATCAATGATATTGAGTAATGATATTTATATACTGTATTGGAAATTGATCAAAGTTTAAATTGATTATTATGATATTTCACCAGGATTTCTGAATAATATCACCACAAAAATAAGAAAAGAAGAGTTATTAACCATTCAGTTCATGTGTACTTCTGATTGTTATTATCAAAAAGTCACCACATTTTGCGTTTAAAATTAACCTAAACATAGATGAAGTGATAAACATGTCAGTTAAAAAGAATTTAGCTCTAGATAAGGAAAAACCTTTTCTTTGTTTCATTATCTAGAATGATTCTAGTCATCAGTAGGGTTACTACTTACTCTTGAAGAATGATAACGGTAATATGTGAATAACTTAAAGTGGATGTAATTTATACTTTGGTAAGTTTCAAATCAGCATAACCTTTTCAGTTAACATTTCAAAGAAAATAATACATAGTATAGTCATCCTTTAAAGTACCAAACCTCTATACTTTTTTCTTTGTTACATTTAATTTCCACATTCTTTTGAAAGAATATCCTACGTAAACAGTAGTTTAATAGGTTAAGTCAGAGGTTACTTTCATCTGTTATCGATGTTTATCAATAAAATAACTTAGTATCAATGTTAAAATGCTTCTAACTGACTAGTCTAAATTATTAAACTCAATAGCAACATTAAAATCTTCTTTCAATCGCGTTGCGCAGTTTAACATTTATGTTTCAGTGAAAGTTTACGAATAAATGATGTACTGAGCTAGTACTGCATTCTTATTAGGAGTTATCCGTAGATTTGTATCCATTCCTTCAGCGATATTTACAATCCAAACATCGACTGATTGGTGGATTTGTTAATCAATAATGTACTTACGGTTAGTTCCATCTGACTAATATATATATATATATATATATATATATATATATATATATATATATATATATATATATATATATATATATATATATATATATATCCATAAGTGGACACACTAAGTTTATATGTTTCGATTATTTTTTTCTTTTGTACTTAAACCTTCATCATGTGATCTAGAAAGATTTGCGCATAAAATTAATTATTTTCCTCTACACCGAAAAGCTAAACGGAAGAGTTGGTTACTAATGATTTTCCTAAAATGTAATTGTACTGTAAATATTCTACTCAAAACTTGATAAGGGTATTATTTTCAACTGGTTATTTTATGTACTACTAAACTTCTCAATATTTTATTGTAATAAGAATGAAAACTGATTAATTTACGAAATGAATATTGTATAACTACATTTTATCTAATCTCTTTATTGATGTTGCGTAGTCTCTTAGGTCAGGTTATGTCAAATATTCCTTAGATAATCTGACATCATGTTTGTAACAATTATTGTTGTGTGTATAAATGTAACTCTATAATTAAGTTTACATTGTTATTGTACACTTTGAACCTGAATCATTTTGTAAAGGTTTTGATACTGAAGTAAATAGGATAAAGTTTTGAAATATTAACACAGTATTGGTGTGTGTCTACTTATACAATATCTACTGGAAGTGGAAACAACTTGAATACTTCAGTGGTATTGTATTTAGCTACGGCATCCCATTTTATTTGTTATAAAACACAAAAAATCATTTTACCGATTCATAGTATGACTGACTTCAAATAAAGTCGATGTAATAAATTGCACTGTCTAAGCTCAGTATATTCGTGAACAATGAATGAACTTGACTTTGATCTTAAGAAGTGTGTTTTAGAAGTTTTCGTTGAACAATATTATGCTTAGACGCAATGTCAGGCAAATCGTGTGATTTACTCAATAAATTTGTAATTGTGAGCTATTAATCACGTCTGTTACTCCTCGTGGAGTATAGGCTGCCGACCAGGAATCTTCAACCTACTTTGTCCTGGGCTCTCTATTCCAGTTGTTCCCAAGTGCTGTCTACTCTTAGTAATTGGCTGTGCAGATTATCATATGCTCACTAGTGACTAGCTTCTAGATGAAATTTCTGGAGATCTACTGAGAGGCCGTGACCAGTGGAGCTAAACCGTGTCGGGTGTGAGGCAGTCACCCACTGCAGAAGATGGGAAATATTCGCTCAGTACCGTGAATTGACTGAATTTAGACAATATAGTCACTGGTTTCTAGTTTATGGATCTGGAAGTTGGGCTTTCGCGCGCGACATCGAAGGTCCTGTGTTCAATTCCCGCGTGGGGGTCGTGAATTCTCACTGCTGAGGGGTCACATAGTAGAGCAAAATAGTTTTTCATTGCCATGATCTGTGCTTCCAATTCCCGACACAATGTATTCTCTTGGTCTATCTCTTTTCGTTTTACCTTGAGTGTTCCAAGTTAGGGCTTGCTTGGTGATGCAGTTTGATTATTTCGGCAGTGTTTGTTGTAGCTAATTGTTGGTTATGTTTAACATGTATCGAGGCATCGGTTACCATGTTATTCAGTGTTAAGTGTAGCATCCATGACTTGTAACAAGGTTAAGGGTGACCAGAATAAAACATTGTACACCAATTCCTAAAGTCATTGAATGTTTATTTAAACGCTGGTGATTTCATTTAGATGTTTGCAGTCAGTCGTTCAAACCATCGAGTGTTCCCGTACTTAAAAGCGATTTGATTTTATCTCTTATTTTAGTCAATTAAATAAAACTAATAACTTATAACATAACAAATTTCTAATTTAACAATGACAGGATTGTTTTCGATTCATGGTTAGAAGTACGATTATTGGATGTTGAAGCTGCACAACGTGCTGTAGCTACTACTATTTGGTTACGTTCAACAACGCAATGTCTTATGGAATATGAACTTGCAGGTATTTATAACAATCAATTCAGTTTAGAAATTTAGTAATAAATCAACATGAATTACTTTGAACTTCGGTTAGGTGTAATATTAGCAATCATAATGGTAAAATGTAGTCTGTCACCTACAAGAATGGTGAATTTCATCAACACCTAGTTGTATATATAAAACTAGAGGCTTCAACTAATATTTACTGGCTAATGATACTACCTTCAATTTATTTTAGACCAGGTTAGTCAAACTGGAAATTAGTAGTCAGAAAATGAACTATCGAGGAGATATCAAATTGGTTTTTTCTATATAAGGTTGGATGATGTGAAAATTAATTTATGGTTCATGACTACCTGATATTTTCTGTCAGCTTTGTCTAACTGACTGTAGGGGTGTTTCGATATTACTGAGTCAATTAACTACATTAATACCAGCGTGTTACAAAGAGGTAAGGCATACGTAAGATGCTTTATTAGTTATGTCTTTTTTGTGACCTTAAGAAGTTGTAATCAAGTTATGGGTGAATAATAATTCTTATTGTTTATATTCTACTTATATTCGACCTTAAATTTTGCATTTTACGTTATTAACATAATACTTCATTATTTGATTTACAATGTTTAATTTCCAGTTTATTGTAAAGAATGATTTTTTTATATAGATAAGTCGATTATATAGGGTCAAGCTGTGATAATAGTGATGATGATCATTCATAGTTTAAATAATCAAACTTATAAGAATGCTTAATATAAAATATCTGCATTCCTCTAGACAGAAATGTGACTATTATCGCATCTTAATAGGCATCTTACTCTCATACTGTTAGTTTGTCCACCAGGGTTCTTGCTACCTATGTGGTTTCGCCATAGGGTTTATGGTGTATGCTACTTATATCTGTCAGCATTAATAGCATGTACCACACTGTTGTGCTGTCTAGTTTCTAAACAACCTGCTGGATGAAGTCTAGTTTTCTTGACGACCAATGTAAAATTACCCTCTTACTGGGCAATTTAGTAGTTAAGACTTTGAACTTTCAGTCACCATATAGCTAGCTTCTCTCTGCCTACCTCATTTTAGACAGCAAACTGTTTTTACGTTATTAGTCTTCACACTTACAGTGTGTATCCAATATATATATATATATATATATATATATATATATGGGTTTATACATTAAAAGAACATGTAGAAGGCAACCTTGGCCAGATGAATAGTTTATTCATTCATTACAGTGTACTTATTATTAGATGCTGAGATGGTTTATGATTTGTCTGATTTTGTCCTAGCATATCAATGTTTTTTTGTTAAAATGCTGGTCTTGACTAACTGAATAGTTCACCACTTTATCACTAACATTATTTCTTAATGGAAAAAATACAAAGTTTAGTATCATGTAGTAGGAATGTTAACTTTATCAGATTTTAACTGTTTTTTACCCATTTATTTGTCCATTTATTATTAATGTTCACATATTTTAGAATGTTTACGTCGTCGTGATCAAACACTCACTGATGATAGTGGTAACGGTTGTGATAGTGGCAATAAAACAACTAATATATCAGCAAAATATGGTTCTTCTAAAAAAAGTGATAATCAACGAAAAAT